CAGAGCCTACCTACCTACCGACCTACCGACCTATGGAGGTGAGGAGTGACGGACGGCTCAGTTTCCCGCGCGCAGGCGCGGCGGCGCGAGCTGAGCTCGTTGCGTAGATGTCGATATGTAGGTACTATACCTATCTATATCGCGCTCTGTCCGCTATTATGCCCTTCGCTGCCTCCTACGTCTCGCCGTATCGCTACGCCGTTCTTTATTGCGTGCGTTTTCCGTTACCTGTTTATGCATACTCTTCCACTCTTGCCACGCCGTTATAGCTTACCTAGGTCCTAGGTTATAAGCAAGATTAAACAGACGCAGCCGCGCAGAATCTTGCCCGTCTAACGCATGCCCGTCGCGACGGGTTTAGAACCTAAACCCAGAGTCGATAATGGAATAAAATGGCTGCCTATGTAAGGATAACTACTACCAAAGTAAACGGCTTCTAGCCATAAGCAGTTGTCTCGACGTATATATATACATATTAAGTACGCATGCATTGAACTAAACCGTAGCTAGCTATTAGCTAACGCCCCAGCACACCTGTACATCCCGTCCACCTACCCGGTTTATGGAAATCGCACAGTTCGCACTTAGGCGACAGAAACGAAATATATATCTCCGCCACACCTCTTCGAGACGAGAGAAAGCAGCTTCTCGCCTGCTCGGCGATAGTAAAGCCCTCACGCGTGCCGTAGGCTGTATACTATATAGAAACCTTACTGCCTGCGGCTAATCGCTTGGAAGCTGTCTGTCCTATCGTCGTGGTCGTCGTCATCATCATCATCATCCTCCTTCTCCATCCCCTGCGTGCGGCAAATACATTGCCTAGGCACACACACACACACACAAACAGCAAGCCACTTCCTCCCCACCACCACTAGCAGCAGCACGACGTAGCCGCGGAGCCGCACCGCCTGCGTGCGTGCTTATATACGTGTTTATATACGTACATACTCCGTTCACGGCATATCTGCCTACGTGGGTAGGTGGGCGTCTCGTAGGTACCTCGTAGTTGGCTCGCACCTCGTGGCCGCGCCGGTGTTTTGGTTGTGGGGCTTCTGACAGGACAGACAGACGACTGGCCAGCACGGACTCTGCCTGGGGTGGCGATCGGCTAGGTAGATGGGATTTCGGATCCTGGATCTGCGTAGTGAGTACCTGACGGTGGGGCGGCGCTTGCGGGCGCGGGATGCTGGGCCGCGGCGTCGGTACCGTCGTGTGGGTTGCGACGGTGATGGTTGATGGTGCTGGGTACGTACGGGCTACCCTAGGTACCTAGGTATGTTCCTAGGTACCTACTTCCTTGGGCAGGTGGGTGGTGGTGGGGAGTTGGAAGAAGAGGCGAGGCACCGGTGATGATCTCCACGGCCCGCGCGCGCGCCCATTCCTCCGAGGTCGAGTCCCCTTCATCCTCTCTTTCTCATCGCCCACGCGCAAACAACCAAACATCCACGCCACGAACCCCGTAGAGTAAGCAACCAGGGCCCGCTCCCACGCGCGCGCTCCCACCCCAGCCAATCACATCCCCCGCCCCCGAATTCCCCACTGCGGCGCCTAACGCCGCTCTCAGGCCATTTGCTTCTGTTTTTACTCGGTGCCCGTGCGGCGAGACTGAGAATAGATGATGCGATGCGATGCGAAAGCGGCGTGGGTGGGGGTGGAGCCGCCGTCGCGCCGTCCCGGCTGTTTCGGGATTTGGCGTGGTGTTTTGAGCCAGGATGACGGCGATTGGCGGCGCCAATTGGGAGGGGGCCCGTATGTATATCTCGTACGAGACGGTCTTGTTTCTTCGCCTGCTGCTTTCTCTTAATTCTATTTGTACACGCTTGTTGCTTAGGCTTTCTTACTTGCGTCTGCGGCCCTGTGGTGCGAGTGTCTGTTTGGCTGTCTCTGTCTCTGTCTCTTCCGTCGTCGTCGTCGTTCTTGGTGCGGCCTGCCTGCCTGCCTACCTACCTACACTACATACCTGCGCCTGCATATTTTTTCTTTCTTGGCTCTTTGTTTTTTTGCTTTTTTCTTCTTTGCTGCTGCTGCTGCTGCTGCTGCCTGCGTGCTTGCGTGCTTGCGTGCTTGCTCAGCCTTCCATTTCAGCCTTGCAGCCTTGCCATCTTGCAGCTTTTCTGTCTGCCGGCGTCGTCATCAGCGGCACTTAGGGCTCCTCGATAGGCTATCCTGACCGCTCGGCTCTCTTGACTTTTGCTCTATCGGACGAGCAAGGCTCGCTGCCTACGCGCTGTCTATATCCTCTTGGTCGGCCTGCCAGTTTGCTTGCTAGCCATCCACGATCCGCCTTCACCACTACCTCCACCACCACCAACACCAATATCTCTTCTCCGGCAGTTTCAGACCATCCATCCAGCCTCTCGACCATCCAATCAACGACCTACCTTACTCAACCACTCAACCAACCAACCACACAATGGCAACAGCAACAGCAACAGCACCAGAGCACCAGCGCGCCTCCTCGCGCGCCTCACACCGACACCCCCACCACCACCACCATCATCAAGGCCCCCTCCTCAACCAGCCCCTCACGCAGCACGGCCTCCCACGCACGCCCATCTCCCCCACCAGCGGTCTAACCCTGCTCAGCCACCCACGCCACCCACAACCCACGCCGCGCGCATCAACCCCCGACTCGCTGAACCTGTCGCTGACGAGCCTGGCGCTCTGCAAGCCCGGCACAGACGACAACGATACTACACCGCCCATGACGCCGTTCTCGCCGTCGGCGTTCCCGTCGGATGCGCTGGACGTGGGTGTGGGTGCGGTGGCTGTGGCTCCCCAGCAGGGCTGCCAGCACTGCGCCTGCTGCGCCCACCACCACCACCAGTTGCAACAGCACCAGCAGCACCACCCCCAGCGCAGCCGCGCCGCGTCCCTCGCCCTCTCTGCCCGCAGCAGCACCGTCGCGCTGCAAGACGAGGAAGCGGCACTCCGCCGGGCGCTGGAGCGCGAGGCGTTGCGCATGGTGCGGCGGAGCGAGGAAGAAGCTTTAGCGTCTGCTTCTACATCTGCATCAGCATCGACATCGACATCAGCATCGACATCGACATCAGCATCGACGTCGACGCCGCCTGGCTCCGCGGGCTCCGCGGGGTCTTGGTCCGCGACGTCGTCGGGCTCGGGATCGGGGTTCGCGCGGCTGGGGTCAAGGATTAAATCCGCGTTGGCGACGGGGCAGGGGAAGAAAGAGAAGGAGAAGGAGAAGGAAAAAGAAAAAGAGAAAGAAGGCCTGAAGCGGGGCCTCTCGATGTCAGTGGCGCAGCGGAGGCGGGGCAGCGCGAGGAGCACGGCTAAAGAAAGGGGGAAGGCGCGCCACGGCGACGACGGCGACGACGATGATGGCGTCGTCGAGGTGGGGGGCGCGCATTGGACTGAGATGTGATGGGATGGGTTTTTTCTTTCCCTCTTCTCCCTCCCCTCTCCCTTGCCTTCTCTTCCATTTTCAGATCCGGTTCCTTTCCGTCATTTCCTCCCCGTTCAATTCCCTACTCCCCTAAAAGGCTCAGTGCTCAATGCTCGGTGGTCGGCTGCGTCGTGCGTCTTGTCTTGATAGTTGATACCCCGAGCGCTCCTGTCGTTTTGGTTTTGTTTATTGGCGTTGGTTTTAGTTAGGGGTGGGTGGTGTTGGTTTTAGTTTTGTTGGTGTTGGTTTTGTTGGTTTTGAGGGTGTTTGGGGGTGGGGAGTTGGGTGGGGTTTGTCTATTGTGCTCAATGCTCACGTAGTTATGGTTTATGCAGTTAGTTGGTTAGGTAGGAAGGTAGGTAGGTGTGTAGGTAGGTTTTACGCAATTAACGAGTGGGAAATGGATGTTGTTTGAGCGTGTTTATTTGTTTATATGTTTTTGTTTGTGTGTGTGTGTGTGTGTGTGTTGATGTCTAGGATATTATTAAGTTCTAATCACCTATCCGCCTGTCTATCCGCCTGCCTACCGTCCGAATCTGTATATGTACGTGGCCTATCCTACTACCTTTCTCTCCCTCAGTCCCTCTATCCATCCCTCGTTATTACTGCTACCTACGGCCTACTTGGTAGATAGATGTGTATGTATATACCGCAGCCGCAGCCGCGTATTAAACCCCTATGCTGTCCCTGCTGGTCCTGCTCTTCCCGCTAGGGCTGCGTATGTATGTGTGTGTATGCTTGGTAAACGTAACACAGAAAAAAATGAAGAAAAAACAACAAATGAATAGAAAGGAAAAGGGATAACAAATGGATAGAAAGGAAATGAGCCAAGAAAGAATAGAGAGGAAAGGAAATAAGGAATGGAAGATGAAAACAAACAAACGAACGAATGAGCGAGCGACTAAGTGAGCGAACGAACAACCCCTAACCTATCGACTCCAGACTCCCTGCTTCTCCATAGGACATACGCCCCTCCTCCCCTCCTCTCCTCCTCCCCTCATTCTACCCAGCCAGCCATTGCGCAGATACTCGCATGGGTGCCTGACCGATGCGCCGCGCCGCGCCGAGCAGGGGCGTAGGTGGGTTGATTAACGGACTCGAACTGAACTGATGGCACAGCGCAGCGCCCTGCCGGTACTGATGGATGATGGATGATGGGACGCGTGCGAGGTAGGCTGCTGGCGCGGCAGGGAGGCACGCGCGGTGACCGCCTAGAAGAAGGCGCAGCAGCGCTCGCAGCGGCCCGGCAGGCAGGCAGACAGGCAGACGAACGCCAACATAAAGCACCAAGCACAGCACACACCACCCCCCCTCACCGATGCGCCACGCCAAACGCAACACAGCACCCCAAAAACGTCACAAACACAACCACAAAACTCCACAGCATCAGCGCAGCCCTGCTCTCCACAAGCTGGCGATGCATAACCGCCTGCAGCGCGAGCATGAGCGCGCCCGCCACCGCCGCCCCAACCGCATTCGGGATCTTGCTCTCAAAGTACGCGCTCAGGAACGCGTTCTGCCATGCCTCTTGCTTCGTTAGGACTAGTGACCAGAGCGCGCCGAGGACGATTTCTTCGCTCAGCAGCAGCACCGACACGCTGCTGAGGAGGATCACTAGCAGCGAGATCTTGCGCTTGCTGCGGGGGGGTTGCGGCGCGTACGTGGCGTAGGTGGGCGGCTTGTCGAGGAGCGGCGTGGGGCTGTTGCTGCGTTCTTGTATTTGTATGTGCACGGCGTGCTTGGGGCTGTGGCTTGGTGGGTAGGGCGCTTGGCTTGCGCGGCGTTGGAGGGTCGGGCTCGGCGGGCGGACGTCGTGCTTGAAGTCGAAGTGGCCGTATTCGCTGCGGTGGTGGGGATCGGCATCATAGTAGCTGTCGTGTGCGTAGTCGTCGGCACTGTCGTCGAACTCGAAGATTTCGGGGACGCAGCTCGTGATGGTGCGGTTTGGCGTGACCATGCGCAGCGGCGCGGCGTTGCAGTCCTTTAGCGCCGGCTGCGCTGCCGTGCTGTTGTTGGCCTCGTGGTTCTGCGAGTACCTCGATGAGGCCATGGACAGGTATGACGCTCGGACGCTGTCGTGGCCGCCGGGGCCAAAGGGGAATAGCAGCGCCGGCGGCGGCTGCTTCTTCGAAGAATGCATCGCCGCGTATGACGTGCTGATGTCCGCGACGATCCGGGGGATATGGCTGAAGGAGACGGCGCTGGCGGTTGGCGTATTAATAAAAATGTTTAAACCTGTCGCCAGCAGGCTAAGTCTAGTGGTAGAAACGAAAGATGCCTCGCGACTGGCCCCGCGACGAACTGCTCCTTGGGCTATGTATAGCTAACCCTGCGACATGCGGAGGTGTTTGCTAGATAGACTTTTCAAGGCCCAGGCCTTCCGCCGCCTGAAACACCGGGAGCACGTGATGTGTCTGAGAGTGCTCGGAGACAATGCGGCCTGCACACCCGTCTTTCCAGAGCTCTTGATTGTTTCAGAAAGGGAGCTGTCTTTGTAATTCGAGAACAGCCACGTGGGGTGTTCTTTGTACTTGGAAACCGAAACGAGCACTCAATATCGAACATGATTTTCCCTGATCTTCTCCAGCATGTCGGACTGGACTAGGGTGTCTGTTAGCGGATCGCTGGCTTGGTGCGTCTGAAAGACTGAGCCTCCTCTATACTTAGATCGCCGGGCCTTAGCTTGAGAGATGACCTCGCACAAATAGGACTCCCCCCGCCTTCATGAGTGACGCGGCTGGGGTTGATACATCACACGGACACCGCGAAAGGGAAAAGCATAGTCAAGGCGTTCAGTGTTGATGAAGGTGCGGGAACAAGCCTTGGCCAGCAGCTGCCAATGCGGCTCTGCAGATGGCACAAAGTGATCTTATCTCTTGGATCATTTCCTGAAGGGGCATCTAGAGCTTCAGCATTGATCGGCAAGTACTGTTTTTGTCTTGATGTCGTCAGAAGCTCAATGCACTAGCCACAAGAAGCCTGGCTTGGATCAGATTGAAATGGTGATGCGGGTCAGTGATTCGCGAAAGGAGGCTGAGTAATGCCCCTATGTCCGAGCTCTAGCGGCCGGTAATTGAAGAGCGGACAGCCGACGAGGCTGGTAAGCCTTACTTTAAAGCGTGACTGATACACAGAGGAGAGTCGGCGATATGCATTTGACCATTCGATGGTAAGGACGGGAATGAAATGCTCATTCATATGTCCGTATCCACGAAAGAGATGTGGTGTTGAAGTGTGAAGTCGGCCTTGTGCACAAAAGAGGAAAGGGGTGCGTCCTGAAACTTCGCTTAGCTGCGGTTATCAAAGGCCCGAGAGCTGGTCGGTTTAGTCGTGTCCGTCCTCAGCGCATCAGCGAGGACGTTCAAGACTTTTCTGCAACATCTTCGCAACAAGTTTTCGAATGAAAGAAAGTTTGTGAATATCTTCACCTGAAGTGCTACCCGTTGGCGCAGAAGTCTTTCGTATCCTGGGTCCTCATCATGTCTTTGCCGTATGCCAGCCTTTATCCGGGACGAACATCGGCCACGATCAGTTCTCCGATGCAGTCGTTAGAAATTTTCTTCCAGAGTAAGACAGTTAATTGCCTAGGTCACTAAAATGTTCAATAGGAACTTGACTTCTTTGGGTCTTACCAAAGGCACATCAAGTGCATTCATACCTACCTTCTGGAACGGGTTCCGGCAGTCCCGGTTTGCTATGTCGCCCTGAAAAAAACCCGGCAGATGTTAGAAAACTTCTACAACCAAGTAAAAAGTATCCGCGGAGCCTTGTGGATTGCCGGCTTCAAATTCCACCAAAGAAAACCTCGGGATCGCTCCTTCGTGCCACTGGAAATCGCAAGCTTACGGTCCACTTCGTACTGAATGTCTGAACTTTCCATATCCGAGGCCATAAATCAGCGGAAATTGCCATCGTTATGAAAGTTGGTGGGATTGTCACGTGCCGGTATTTCAAAAGAGCGGTTCTTGGCACCGGCCAATCCTAATTTTCGTCGGATCCATAGGAAGAGAAGGAAGCAAGAATACCTTGTTGGCAAGATATTCCTGGACAGTTTGGGTGATTCTGGGAACACAACGGGCGAAAAACCGGGGCAAGCCCAATCTTCAGAGCCGAAAGCTTCCCGCTGCCCGAATCACTGAAACGCTCCCTACAGCAACATCAGGCCGAGGAGCACCCACGTCATCGCAGTCACACCACAGCGGCCGTGCAAAGAGCAATTGCCACAGGCATCGCAACCAGGCACGCGTGAGGGGGCAGTGCTTGGGAGCCCCTGACCGCGATGGAGCCTCCAGATGGCGAGACGCGACCATCGCAATCCTGCGGGGGGCAGCAGAGTCGTCGTACCCCAGGGATACCGCTCTTTCTAAGCAAGCTCGCACCGCCCAGACCGGTCTTTCGCAGCCACGAGGCCGATGACTGAACAGAGACTCCCGCCAAGAGTCGTCGAGTAAGCATCGCGACAGTTGTCAAATATCGACGTCATTTCAGGGTCTAGCTCGTTGCCGAACGAGCGCAAGCTAAAAGTCGACGAGATGGGCCGCTGGACGCCGTGTTGACATGCCTTTTTACGCGATTGAATGCGCCTACACTGCCACCCTGACAGCGCATCGGCGCCCGTCGATGGACTCGGAGCGTTGAGGAGTCTTGTGTCACGTGTGTTTGTGTGTGTGCAGTATGGCACGCGTCACCCACCGAATCCGGCCATATCGTGGGCGTTAGCAATAAAGCACGCTCTGGTCCCCTGAGCCACGAGTGGCCCGCACCAAAATCCCCGACCGTCGAGTCTGTTGTTTGGAACTATTTCCCGCACAAGGAACAGGCCATGCGGTTCCTTGCAACCGCCTCCATGCTTCATCGATCATTGCTAGTTGGAGCATTAGTGGCGGTTGAGGATCTGTCTGCTGATGCAGATCGAGCAACGGCGCTACGCTTAATCTAGTGGTGTTGCGGACGGCGCCTGCCGTCCGAGAGGGGAGAGCGAGGCCAGAACTCTCCACGTCTTTCGTGATAGGACCGCATCGGAGAACGAGTCTACCGAAATAGCAAACGGGAACGAAGTAGGTTTGTGGGGATGTAGGCGTCGGACTTTGGTGTTTCATCTGGATTTCAAGGACCTCGAGTGGCTGTGCCATCCTGATCTAGATGCAAGATGCTGCAGTCCTACAGCTGTTGTGGGAATCAAAGGACGGCAAGGGGCTTTCATGGAGTGCGCATAGCATCATCCAGGAACTGCTGTCCGCGTGGTAGGTCTGGAATCCACAAACGTGCACCTGAGCGCAAGAGTATCTTGTCTCTTTCCTGGATTGAAGACACCAGGTCGCACCATCATTCCCACCAAAGACATCGCAGTTACGATGAAACCTGGTGCTCCAAGTTGGAAATCTGCCTTTCAGACAATCGACACTCAAGGTGTGGTGGTAAACCCCGCCCTTGATGCTTCCTTGCTCGAGTAGCTCCAGCAGCTAAAATAGGTGCTGTTCAATAGAGCCGTAGGAATTCCTGCAACTGCATGATCGGTGCTCCATCGGCAGCCGGCGGCGTCATGACATTGGGATTAGTATTCCGGACGAGGACCAAGCATCTCCGTGTTGAGTGAGGTGCAATAGTTATTGCTAATTTCAAGGGTTCAAAAGATAGATACCGCACTGATCACTTGGCAAGGATCGCCTTTTGCCGTCCGGTCTGTGCGCCACGCCCTTCTGACGACACTATAACCTGGCATACCGGTCTCCATGCGCGCAGGGTCCGGGAGAAATGAATCGCGGCCGATCAGCAATTGCATGAATGGCTCCCGTGTAGCTGGAGAGGAGTGTTCTGTGGTAGCATCAAGGCATCTACGAAGTAGCGCTGCATTGAAGCCAACTTTAATTGAGCTTGTTGGAAGTCCAATTATTTGATAGCCGCGATCAAGCTTCCCCAGGTCACACAAGAAGCAGACGAGGGTTTCCCCACGCTGCAAGGGGGGAGAAGGAAGCCGATAGCGGCGACAGGGACGGGTCTCGTGCCGGTGGCATGCGCGCGCTGTGCCTCGCATCCGTCCAGCATCAATCACCACGTCGACGGACGATGAAGCTTTGCGGAGATGGGCGGAGCACAGTCAGCAGCAAGAAAGTTGTGGGGACGGGATGGATGGAAACTCTGGACGCGTCCCCGCACCGACATACGGGACCCCCGCGCCATGTGTTGGGCGATAGGGCTGACGCGTCATTGGCGGGCGCGGTTATCATCAGTATCGTCAGGATGGGAATGGCGACGGCGCGTGGCTTGGGGTTGACGGGCGGCATATGCGGGCTTGACGCGTGGTTGGCGGAGCGGGCGGGCTAGTGGGCTCTGCTTGTCCAAACCACGCCCTGCGCTTGGGCCCGTTGGTCAAGAATTGCGGAGATCAGCCCCCTTCGTCTTCGCTGCCACCACCTCCATTAGAGACGTGACTCAGATCGCCGCTGCATGTCACGCTTTACGCCCTTCCATCACCGTCACGCCGTTTTTTATAAAAATGCTTTCGTCCCCGGCTGAGCATGTCGCTTTCGACGACGACCCAGACCATCCGCTTCACCACGACGCTACTATTTTTGTTCCATCTATCAACAAAGAAATCTCTACCTATCACACACATACATCATATCATTCCAAATCAACGCTCAACTCTTTGATGATTCGCCGTCTTCGTTTCTCAAGTCTTCGTCCCCTCTCGCCTTAGGGCCGTCATCAGTCATCTCTCTCAATCATCCTCAGTCTCCACCATCATGTCTGCCCGTTCTCTGTCCATCGATTCCGTCTCGCAAAAGATGTTGAGCCTCGCTTGGCAAGACAAGCCGACCATTAACATCTCACTAAAAGGCGAGCACGGCACGCGCGGTGGATACATGACTTCCTTCTCGACCATGGACCAGATCGAGGGCGAGGTCTTCATCACCTGCGGAAAAGACACCAGATTCGACGACCTGGAGATTGCCTTTGTTGGTGAGCCGACCCTGCATCATACTTACACACCTTGATGGAGCCATCTCGATGAAAGAGGCCTTTTTTATGTAAAAAAAAAAAACACCGCAACTAACAACCAATCGCCACGCACCAGGCACGGCCACGACCTGCAACGACCGCTTCACGGCCAACGCCTCGCTGGCAGCCAACACCATAACAGCAACCCACCACTTCCTCAAGCTGCGGCAGCCAATCCCGGACGCCGCGCTCCCGCAACCCCGCGTCATCGAAGCCGGCCGCACATACCGCTTCCCATTCACCTTTGTCGTCCCGGCCCATCTCCTCCCCTTGGCCTGCCAAAACGCAGCCAATGACCAGGTCCGCGCCGCCCATCTCCAGCTCCCCCCAAGCATGGGCGAGGGGCCCATCCCCTCCAGCCCGTCGGGCAAACCGCTCGACGACCTCGCGCCCGAGGGCGCCCGCATCTCGTACGCGGTGCGCGCGACGCTGGGGCGCTCGTCCGCCACTAGCAGCGGGAAGAGCGAGATGCTGGCGCAAAAAGCGAAGGCGGTGCGCGTGAAGCCCGCGTTTGAGGAGCAGCCGCCACTAGCGGTTGACCAGCCCGTGCTGCCCTCCTCCAACTGCGCCAACGGCACTTGCTGTACGACCCCGCGCTGCGCCCCGCAGGAATACCGCCTCCACGCCGAGAAGACGATCCGCAAGGGGCTGTTCCAGACGCGGACCGGCAAGCTCTCCGTCGCCGCCGCCCAGCCACGCAGCTTCCACCTGCCATCGCCGGGGTCCAGCTCAGCGAGCACGCCCAACGCGCCCATCTCGACTTCCGTGCGCGTGACGCTGCGCTTCGACCCCGCGGGCCCGGACGCCCTGCCCCCGAAGCTGGGGCACCTGGCTGCGCGCCTCAAGATCCAGACGTTCCATACCTCGACGCCGCGCGCGGGGTTCCCGTCCAAGGAGGCGCTGTGGATGGACCCCGCCGTCGCGGCGTGGGGCGTCATGGTCCCCCTTGAGAAACGCGATGTGGGCGGCTTGCAGTGGCTCAAGCGCTGCGAGGGCGCGCCGCCGTGTCCGCTGCGCAGGGATTCGGGCATTAGCGATTGCTCGCGCTCGTCGTCTACGTCTTCTTCTTCCTCTACGCCTTTCATCCCCTCTCCTTCCTCCTCTTTCTCCTCCCCTTCAAACCTCTCTCCATCAAACTCATCCCCCTCAAATCCCTCCCCCTCAAAAACACACCTCTCCCCCACCCCCAACTCCAACCACTACTACACCGCCACGCTCCTCATCCCCCTAACCCTCCCCTCCTCCCGCTCCTTCGTCCCAACCTTCCACTCCTGCCTCATCAGCCGCACCTACAGACTCGACCTCTCGCTGTCACTACCAGGCGCGACATCTGTGCTCCCCGCCAGTGCGGTGACGGTCAAGCTGCCTGTGCAGGTTAGCGCGGCTGGAAGTGTGGCGGGCGTGGCGGAGGCGGAGAGACGGCGTAGTTCTGCTGCTGCTGGTGTGGCGGCGGGTGAGTTGGTGGGGTATGATGGGGCGGTGGGTGCAGGTGGGTTGGGTGTGGGGAGTGCGTTGGAGGGGCTGGATGGGTATGCTGGTGGAGGTGAGGGGTTGGAGGGGCTAGTGGATGAAGGCGTCGATGTGGCCGAGAGCGCTGTATCGCCGCACCAACAACAACAACAACAACAACAACAACAACAAGATCTCCCACCGCCGCCTGCGCCGCCGGGCTACGAGGCCCGTGGCTCGGTCGCGGTTGCGGTTGCGGTGTGAGCGGAGCGAGCGGAGCGAGCGCAAAGAGCTGAGCGAGCGCAAATGAGGTTGAACACCACTGCAAGACCTCATATGAGCACACCAACCACAAAACGGCATTCACATTCATTCACTTTCATGTTATATTGTGTTATAGCCCAAGCAAGGATGGCAGGGCAGGGTAGGGTGGGATATGGCGTAAAGGGAGTCAATTATGTTCATTGGGTTACTTGGATTTCGGATTGGACTGGATACCCCGTTTATTTTATACTTTGCGAGGGATGGGATGGGCTGGGCTGGGTTGGGTTGAGTTGTGAGGGATTGAGGGTAGTTGTATTTATATGTAGATTGAGGTGGGAAATTGTAATGTATTAGTAACTTGTGTGCTTTGCTGCTATTAAATGTATCGTATTGGGTTGGAGCGAAGATGGCGGGTTTTGTGCGGTTTTGCTGGTGGATGTGTCGGTATGCCTGTGCTGTTTTATTTTTTTTATGTGGGGGTTTGGATTTGATACTACGTTTATGTTGGTATTGGGTATGTTTGCAGAGTTGATGCCGCTGGTGCGTGGTGCGGCGGCTGTGTGTGGGTGGTGTGGTGTGGTGTTCTGGGTTTGGTGGTTGGATGGATGGATGAGAGGGCTTGTTTGCTTATGTGCGTATCCGCTTGTATACTTGTCTGCTTACTTGCTTGATTGCCTGGTTCTATGGGTCTACGTGTTTATTTGCCTGTGTAATATGTCTTGCTCCTGCATTGGACCTACGCGATAGGACAAATGGAGTAGGTAGAGTAAATGGAATAGATGAGCCTAGCTAGCTTAACTGGACAGGAAAAGGATTTGCGAGACGTGCATGACAGCGATGCAGGACAGAGTGATGTGGCATGCGTGATAAGAGGCCAAGGTTGTCATTGATACGAAAGAAGAAAAGAAGAAGGAAGGAAAAAGGTTAAGGATAGCCGCATGGATGACGTCGCCGATCTTACTCTTGCTGGAAAGGGAAGAAGGAATATACAAATACCTTAAAGCAATGGAATTCCACATGCTGCATATCAATTCCCCCTCGACCCCGTCATGGCGATATTGATGATGCCATCTCTCCCGATGCCCGCTGCAGGATTTGTCGTCGCATGCCTCTGCAGCAGATCTGCCGTCGCCGCATCTCTCCAATCATCCCTACCTACCCGAGAGGTGAAGCTCGAAGAAGCAGTAGCGATGTGGTGGCTTGAGCCCTAGCGCTAGTCCCGTTACGGCCGGCCCCCGCCTCGCCTCGCCTCGCGACCGCATGGTAGTTTAATGAAATTCCTCACACCCCCTCCCCCCAGCAACTGCATCTTTCTTTTTTTTTTTTCCCTTTCTTTTTTGTTTATTTTTGTCGCGTCCGATACTGCCGCGCACTTCTTCGCATTGCATCTTCAAACCGGTCAGTACCACGGCAGCCGCAACCCCCTTGACTGTTTCCGCCCCGTCGTGCAGCGGGTGCAACAATTGTGTCTCCACGACGGGTGAGAGGTTACGGTGGCGGGCACGGCTGGCAGGGCGTCGGATCCGAACGCGCCATCTGGATGCTTGCAAGAAGGGTAGCGGCAGGGCGCAATTCCTGGCTTGCGGACGGGCGAGCTATCTTTGACGCAGCAGCCATCGGGTGGCCAGCCGCTGTTAATGTCCCTAACGGCCAAGGACTTGGGCAAAATTTTTTCTGCAGCATGCAGGACGGCATCGGCGGGACGGCACGCAGCCTGATCTCGTCTCCCCACGCCTGTCTCAAACGGTCCTCTTGGCGCCGCTGCTTCTCAGACACTGCCCCAGCCTGCCTCGTGCCCGCTGCTGCAAAGCAATGCTGCAAAGCAAAAAGCACGGCGCCGGGCTTTGCTCCGTCTTTTTCCTGCTGCCCCCGCCTTTCTTTCTTTCTTTCTTTCTTTCTTTCTTTTTTTTTTTTTTTTTTTTTTTTTTTTTT